CGTGGTGTTGTTATCGGACTCGCCATAATTGGTTCCAAAAACGTGTTGGAAAGGCGTCGTGAATCCGGCGTTCTCAAGGATAAATTTGAACCAAAATTTGAAGAACGCGGTGGGGCATAAATTTTTGGAAAAGTAAGATCAGGGTTCGACTTAGGAGAACTAAGCGGCCGCACGGGTGACACGTCATTAATCAACTGATTGCTCGTAAACTGCGGTGATGTACCCGGATAAAGATAACCGGGTGTCTAAAGGTATTTAATTGGATAATATAGTTAATTATAGAAAAAATTTTCATAAATCTCATAATATTGCAATACAAACATCTATCTTTGTTGGAGCACTCTTGCGTCTTTCTTCTTTTTCTTGTTTTTGTTCTTGCTGATAATATTGTGCCATTGTAGGAGTAAAATAGTCTTCATCCAACATTAACTTTGAGCTAAGAAGGGCTTCAGATTCGTCAACATGAAAGTCGCAATTTGTTCGATATTGCACCTTAAGAGATAAGACACTATAAAAATATTTAAAAGTTAACATACATGTCCAATACGTCTTATTAATATATATATGCAATTATTTTTTTACCCTAATGGTGTATCAACAGGACAAAACTCGAACCCTGAAACAATAGGTCTAGATTCTCCCTCTATTATCGGAACATCTAAATAGGTTTAAAAATTAATCAATATGGAATACTTAAAGCATAATTTCTTTAGGTAAATATGGATTAACCTATTCCAATATTATCTTGAGTGTTATTAGATGGTAGTACAAATCTATAGCCGATTTTTAAGGCGTTGCTATGTCGCATTTTTCTTATTCGCTTGTAAAGTCGGTAGACTGGTAATAGCCTAACATAAGCGTACAAAGAACGAAAAAATGCAATAGATTTCTTATAGACGACAGGGAGTTCTGATTGTGGGACAGTAGGTTGGTAGCTTTGTATGATTTATTCATTATAAATGAGAGATTGTCTTACTTGAAACAAATCAGGCAGAGAAAAGGTTACTAATATATACAGACTTTTAAAAATCATGCTACCTTAAAGACAACTGCCAACGTTCCAACATGATATTCTTTGTTGCTCTATCACCACCTAAAATAATCGAATCTATTCTTCGCCTTCTTAATGTCTCATCAGTCAACACTAGAACTTGGTTTTTAGTCAAGTCTGACGTATCTAAATAAAATTCTATGGTCATGGGAAGAGGCGCAGAGGAACCCGTAGATGTCTGTGAAATTTGACGCCATAATTTGAGATCATCTTTGTACACGTCTGAATCACTTAATTCTAAATTGAACTATCCGTATATATTGATTTAAAAAATTTAAGATGGAGAAAAGATCAAAAGGACCATTAACATTAGAAATTTCGTGCATAGAAATAATATAAATAGTAGATTAATCCAATTAGTTGTAAAAAATTCTTGATAATCTAATAATATTAACGCTAATATTTAACATACCCATTTATTAGATCTCTTTGAGTGAGACGTTGTCTGACGCGGATGCAATGACAGATTTGCATTGGGTAGGATTTTTCCAATATTCTGAGTATCATACTGCACAAGACGTGCCTGCGTGATTATTTGAGCAACTTTGATATAGAAGTTCTAATTTAGGGATTTCGATTTAAAAAAAAAAAATGATGTTATAACTATCTATTAACTTATAATCATTTTTTTAAATGAAAAAGGTAATAACCTGAACGATCTGATCTGTCCTTTTTTGAGGATTTAAAGGCGATGCAGGAGGGGAAGCTGATAATTGTGAGGAAGAAGAGGGAGTTCTGTGCATGTCATACATGCGGCATCAAGTTTGCTTTTGTGTATTTATGAGATGGAAGTTAAAACCTTACAGCGAGATCTCCATTTAGACACTTGTAAAA